ATCTCCCAGCTACTTGAGAGGCTGAGGCAGGAAAATCACTTGAACCTAGGAGGCATAGGTTGCAGTGAGCAGAGATCGTGCCACTGCACTCCAGCCTGGGTGACAGAGCTAGACCCTGTCTCAAAAAAAAAAAAAAAAAAAAAAAAAATTTAGCCAGGTGTAGTGGCATGTGCCTATGATCCCAGCTGCTCAGGAGGCTGAGGCAGGAGGGTTGCTTGAACCCAGGAATTTAATGCTGCAGTGAGCTATGATTACACCACTGTACTCCAGCTTGGGTGACAGAGTGAGACCCTGTCTCTTAGAAAAGAAATAAAAAGGTAATGACATTTTGACATCAACAAAGTAGGAAGGCCATCCTTTTAGAGTAAGAGATAATCCCAAGGTATTCTGGGCCTGCAGGCTGAGGAGTAGGGAAGGAGGTGAACACATGAGCCATCCTTGTCCTTAGCACCATCCTCCTCTGCATGTTCCCCTCAGATCTCCCAGGCTTCTGTTCTCCAAGCTGCTGATGGCCTTAATGAGAGTGCTTCAGTTTCTCGGTCTCCTTAAACAGACCAGACACCTGCCTGACTGGCAGACCATTCACTGCCTAGTTGGCACCATGTCCCCCTCTGTTCCCCAAGCACTAGACCTGTACACAGGCACGTAAGCCTTCCATGAGCCTTTTTCTGAGTGAGGCTATTTATAAATGAAGGGATTAGATGGGTTTTAAACTCCACTTAAGCTCGTCTTGTCTTCTCTAGGAAGGGATTTTACATTACATAGTTACATGTCAAAAGCAAGGGCTTTGGAATGAGACTGCCCTGAGTTAAACCCTTTTCTTTATCACTTACTGGCTGCGGGGCTGTTCTCTCTGAGCTTCAGTTTCTCATCTCTAAGACTAGGGGGGCAGTAACCCCTATCTCTTAGGGTTACTGGGGTGAAGTAAGGCAATGGATGTAAAAGACTTGATCCTTTAACCGTGATTGGAAAGCAGTGCTGCTTTACTAGGTTGTTACCTCCAAAGCACTTAGAACTTGCCTGGCACATACAAACTGCTCCATAAGTGGTTGCTGTTATGCCAGTTATAGAGAAATACGAAGGTGGGATGCACTGAGAGAACTTGGCCCAAGAGCTGAAATGAGAAAGGTAAGGATTCATAGCAGATTTTCCCAGATCATTGACACCTGCCACCCCCAAGATCATCTGAGATGCAAGCTATCGGAACCATTGCTGAGCCAGCTTTGAAAGCACTGAACGAAGACTGACATAGTGCAGAGACTTTGGGCGGTGAAGCTGGAAAACTTGGGATTAAGTGCTGGTTCTACTCTGCTCAGCAACTCTGGTGTGGGGCAAGTTGCTCCATCTCTCTGGGCCTGTTTTCTTGTTAAAACTGGCCAAATCCATCCTCACAGGAATCATGGCAGGTTCATTACATCCCCTTTTTTCATTATGCTTAGCAGGTGTGATTTTTGCCCTCAGGGGGTGGGCTCTGTGGTCAGGGGTAGGGCTTCCACAGAGCGGGATGAGAAAACCCTCAGTCGAAGCTGATAGCCAGGCAGTCAGGCACAGCCTGAGCGATCAGAGAGCTGAGATGTGGCATTTGCTAGGATGAAGTGCCACAAGCCTAGGGCCTCCCCCGGGACCCACTGGGGCTGGAACCTATACCCTTTATAGGTCTGCTGCTCAAACCCACAACCGTGTGGTCTGAGCTATTCCTCTTCATAGCTGCAGAAAGTGCTTCCATTACCTTCGGCGAGCTTACTGTGCTGTTGGCTCCCTGGGAAAAGTGCTCCTTCTCCGATGGCAGATGGGAAAAGAACCACCAGCCAAGATCCTCTCCGCAATAGAGAGCTCTCTTATTTTCCTTCCTTGCGCTCACAAGAGAGAACCAGACTCAGACCTGTGGGCTGTTCTGAGGCTTCCAACAGGAGGGCCGGAGCCAGTGCCAGAGCTAGAGGGAGGGTGGAGGAGCCTTTGGGAAATGTCAGCCTCACTTCCTGGCATAGGACCCAGTGATTACAGCGGTCATTACAAGCTGGTGTCTCAGGAGTTCTTGCAGAGTGCTGTGCTGTTGGTCTGACCTTCTGCAGTCATCACACGATGTTCTGCTAGTTTTTATGTAAAAAGGAACCTCTGGCTTCTGAAGCCGCCTCTTTGCCAACACTGCTTTTCAGCTGCCATGTGCTACCTTCCTGCTGATGGGCATCCTTTTCAGGAGTTTGTCCTCAGCTAGGGCCCTATGCAGGGAGGGAAGAAAAGAATGCTGGAAAGTCATAACTGGTCCCAAAGATTATTTTAGCACATCACACGTGACCGTATAATTTCTCGTCGTATTTCACAAGGTCTTAATGCCTCGATGGTGAGGGCCCACCCTAAATACCCTCTTCCCCCATCTTCGGGTTGATCTGCTGTGTCTACGGAAAGCACAAAGAGAAAGCAGTAGGCATGCTAAATAGAGCTGGAGTTGGAGATGGCTGCTGAATCATCAGGGAATATGTTTATGATGATTTTCTTTTTCCGTGTCAAAAACTGGATACAAGACCTTCAAGTGGATTTTTTTCGAGAGGAATTAACAGGCTGAGGAACAGAAGCAGCAGAGTAAAAGGCTGGGCCTGAGAAATCCTATGTTTTCTTTCCAGATAAGCCACACCCACTTCCTTCCAAATAGACGCTGGGTCACCCGCTCCCTGGGCAGTGGAGCAGGGAATCGCACAGTCTAACCTCCCGTTTGGCAGTGTAGAAGCTCTCCCTTGTCCACTGGGCGTGGAAGAGTCAAGACAAGACCCCACATCTGGACCTTTCTGTTGGAGCTGCCAGCTTTTCTTGTTCATTAAAGTACCCATTTTTCCTATTAAAAAGTAAAATGAGACATTGGTGTGTGTTGAATAATAAAAATCAGAAGTAGGGGAAGAAGAAAATCCGGTCACAACAAGCACAACATTTTGTTGTATTTCTTGTCAGATGTTCCTACCCTGGAGTGTTTGTGTTTTTCGTAGTTATGGTCATGCTGTGTGCTACACCATTTTGTACCCTACTCTCTTCCACCTACCCAAGGGAAATGGTTTTGCCATCATCTTCAAAATGCCACGCAACAATCTCATTTTCTCTGTAGTATATCAGTAAGGTAAAGGATCATTTGCTTAATCTTTATTTTTGGACTAGTGAGTTAGTGCCTTATAATTTAAATAATACTTCAGCGAACTTCTTTATCCATAAAGTTCTTTTCATATTTAGGTTTATCTGTTAAGCTTGACTTTCAAGAGTGGAATTTTAGGGAGCCACCAATCTAAACACCTTTGAAGCCCTAAAAATAGCACCAGACTTCCCTTCCTCCAGCAGTGTGGGGAGGACCCTTCTCGTGGTACCCTCACCAGCAGAAGCACTTTTGGTGGTTGCGTGGCTGAGAACCACGGCCTGTTTCAGATTTAACACATTTATAGTCTCCGGCTGGGGACAGTTGGCTAGGAAGGGGAGGACTCATTGAGTATGCTTATACCTTCTGTGGGCCAAGAACCTGATAGTCATCCCCCTCAGACCTCAACAAAGAGCCCCCAGTGTTCAGAGGAAGAAACTGAGGCCAACAGGAAGTACATTATCCGATACTGTCCTGTCCTGCTGCCTCTTGAGAGGACTACCCAGGTCACTCGCCAGGAGCTGAGGACAATGAGCTGGTGTTGTCAGACTGCGCAGGTGGCAAGTCATGGCAGCCACAGTGCTGGCTCTTCCTCACAAAGAAAGGAAGCTGCTAGGGGATTGTTCACACACAGTGAAAGACTTGTCTGCTTTGGTCATTCAGGCTGAGAACAGGCACTTTAGAACCTCCTTAGATGCGCCACGGCGGGCGGATCACTTGAGCCCAGGAGTTCAAGACTGGCCTGGACAACCTGACAAAAAACCGTCTCTACTAAAAGTGCAAAAATTGGCCTGGCATGGTCGTGTGTGCCCTGTAGTCACGGCTACCCAGCTGAGGTAGGAGGATCACTTGAGCGCAGGACTTCAAGGCTGCAGTGAGCTGTGATCAAGGCACTGCACTCCAGCCTGGGCGACAGAGCAAGACCCTGTCTCCAAAAGCCTCGATGATTCCATGTGCAATGAGACTGGAGCACTGTTGCCCTAGATGGCCCGCCCTGCCCAGGACAGCACTATACTTAGCACTGATCCGATAGCTCAGAGCGGGGGCTGCCCAAGACTAATCTCTGTGGGCCCTTGGATTCTAGGCCTCCAATAGAAAAAGCCCCTGAAGGACGGGCTTGTCTTATTCCTGAGGACTGGGACTAAGGCAGTTTTCAAATAATAGCGAATACTAATAGGATCAGGCCCTCTTCTCGGTTTTACATTCATTTAATGTTCATCTAATCTTCATAATAGTCTGTGACGCAGGTACAGGTGATGAGACCAGGGAACAGAGGACTTAAATCCCCCCACTGCACGGCAGCAGACAGTGCAGGCCCAGTCTAGCAGTGCTCCTGGCTGTGGGACTCTGGCCTTTCTTAAGACCTTAGCAGATAGCCTGCTTCAGGTTCTCAGAGGCCTGAGTTTCATTCTTCTCTTTAAAATAAGATAACTAAACCGAGAGAGGGTTGCTGTGGTGTTTCTAACAAACTGCACAGTTAGCCACAGAGAGTGGGGAAGAAAGTATGGGTGGAACCAATGCTGGCAAGGTCCATGGGGACAGAAAATCCAGGGTGGGCCCTGCTGTGTCTTTTCCTGATAGTACGGGGAAGTCAGGATTCACGATCGGTTTGGCAGCTGGAGCCAGCATGCTTGGGTTCCCAGCCAGTGTCTGCCCCTTAGTTATTGTGACCTTGCATAATTTACTTAGCCTGAGCCTCAGTTTCCCATCTGAAAAATAAGCATGTGTGTCTACACCTGGGAGGTTGAGACTAGATTTACCCCGTCTATTTAGAGTGCTCCCCCGCAATCCCCAGCACACACAGCTTCAGCATTCCTCTGGGTTGGGAGCTGGTGCCCAGGCCTGCTGACCAATATCTACTCCTTACATGCCTTCTGTCTTCCAGGTCGATCCCTCGGGACCCACAGTCTCACCACGTCTCCTACAGAGGACGGCAGAGGGTACAGGTGGTGGCTTGGCCGGTTGGCGCTCTCCTGACAGCTGGATCTCCGGCAATGTGAAGCTTTTGTTTGGCTTACCCCCTTTTCCTTTTAGTTTTGCTTAATTTTTCTTCTCCTTCTTTTTTTTGGTCTTTTCTTTTTAATTTAAACCATTGAGACTTCAGAAGAACAGGAAGCAATGCTGTGGTGTGGACAGGCACCAGTTTCTTTGAAGAAATTCAGTATGGATAAGGCATATGCATAAATTTCACTTTTAATTTGTATAAGGGGTTAGGGAGCTATTTTCAGTTTTGTCCTTCACTTTCCCTCTGTCTTCCTTCTTTATGTTTCTCTCAGTTCTACTTATGACACCTCACTTCCCCAGGGAAGGCCTGCCTCCCCACAGGGAATCTGGGGATTTCTCCTGGAACGGGGCATGAGGACATAAGGAGGCCTCTGGGCCACACCTCCCTACCAGATGCAGGAACTCCTGGACTCCTTGGTGGGCTAGCCCTTGCTAGCCTTGGGCCTGAGAGAGAATCAAAAGCGAAGAACCACCTGGAAGAGGAAGACCAGGGTTTGGCCAGAACTAAAAAGGTCTCAACTCTGGGCTTTGTTCTCTTTAAGCTATTGGGAGCCCCAGGCCACACCAGGACTTAGAGCGGTGGGAATCCATTTCTCTTCCACCCTGTGTTGCAGGGAACTGGGAGGGAAGGGTGGAGAGTGACCGTCTCGCACTTGCTGGTGGTCGAGCGGCCATCCCCCCACTCTGTAAACCTGCCTTTCTGTTGGGAAAAACTGTTGTGCCAAACTCTGGGACACAGCTGGGTCTTCAGCAGGCTTCTGTCACTGCTGTGAGGTCAGCACCCCTCACCTAACTGCCTCCTGGATCGCCATCTCCCTAGATGTGTCCCGTAGTGTCCACGTGTCACAGAGACGGCCTGAGGCCATTAGATCTGGTTGCGACTTTGTCATGATAACAGGGTGTCCTGAACTGGCTGCCATTGTGGTGTCCTCACAGTGCAGGGCGTGCCCTGTGTGCTGGGGTCCATGGTGTCGTATCAAGCGCCATTCCCCTCACCCCCAGAGACTGTTAGGTGCCTGTCCTCAGCGTAGACATATCTGATGTGAAAATAGCAGACCTGCCCAGAGCAGGAAGTGTGGGGCTGGGTAGACCCGCTGCAGCGTTACGGTCCCATTTGTGGGCTCACCACCTGCAGCTGCCACTGCCACCGCCGCCGCTGCCTGTCGCAGCCATGCTTGCACTCTCTCCAGCAACCCTCTCACACCTCCCTAGGGAAGCCTCCCCGCCCCTGGGCTGCTTCTCTGAACCCATCTGTTCTCCCGCTGCAAGAAGGGGCCCCGTGTTGTCCCTCTGGACTGGACGGGACTGGCCACTCCGAAGACTTTTCACCCCATTATGGCCAAGTAGTATAGGGTCCCTGGGGAGGAGCAAGGGAATCCCTTTGTGTTCGTTTTTGTATTTTGTTTTACCTTAACCAGCATTGGATGGATAGGGGAGAGGGTTGGAGGGCATTTCAGTTTCTGTGTGACCAAGGCAGGGGCTTTTACTTGCTAAGCAGCAATCTTTTGGCCCTGAGAATTTGGGAGAGAGCAGTGCATCAGGCCAGGCTTGGCAATATGTTTGCACACATTCTTTCAGCCTTCTCTCAACCCCCTCAACACCAAGCTTTCTTCCTTCTTGTGGACGGAGAGTTGGCTGCTGTTAGCAGGATCCCATGGTGATAACCAGGCCCTTCCTTTCCCGGGCTGAAACCCATTGTGACTGCCTGTCTCTCCTGTCTCCGACTTCTCAGGCAGTCTCCTGAGTGCACTGAGTTGTAGCCAAGAGGTTGGGAACAGTGGCATCCCCTAATTGCAGTGCACCTACCTTCTCTGCCCGCCACCCTGCCCTCCCTTGGGGGCAGCTGTCTCTGTACATGAGCAAATGGGAAAAACAGTCCCCAAACCCAGCACCCCCCTCTCCCTGGCTGCAGCCCATGCTGTAACATCCCTAATGAGCTCCAGCCTAACGAGCCCCTTGCTTTCTTTTTCTTCCCTACCCAGGTCTCGGAGCTCCAACTAAATAAGTTCTTGGAGCCATCGTGCTTCCCCATTGTTATTTTTCTTGCTCTCAGAGTATCCCCTGTAGGTGACAAGTGGGCAGCCTGGTAGGAGTCGCCAGCCTCCATGCCCCCTTACCTTCCAGGACTCCCAGCCAGTTCTTGCTTAGTGGCACGACCTCTTTCCGTAGTGCAAATGCAGGCCAGCTCTTTAGCCCCAAGTGCCTGCCCCCCCCCTCCCTCCCCTGCTTTCTCAAACACTTGCCCACCTCAGGCACACAGTTCTCAGTAGATGTGGGCCCTGCCATGGTGAGAACTGGCTGTGGCTCAGCCCCGAGTAGCACCTGTAGTCTCAGTGCCACTCCACTGTCCCCGTGTGGATCAACTTCTCACTGTCACGTCCCCCCTCCTGCCTCTTCACTGGGTCTCAGGCTGCTGGCAGCTCTCTGGTGCATCATCTCAGCACCACCAAGTTTATAGGACCTGCCCAAGTTCTAGGAGTTTTCAAACCTTAAAACGGCAGTCATTCGTTCTCCTTGGCTCTGTGGCAAGGATAGCCCACTGGAGGGGGCTCTTGACCTCGGCTGTTAGGGATCTGAGCTTGGGTTTCCCATCAGAAGAATCAGCAGGACAGATTGTAGTGCCTTATTCCATTGTCCTCTCCTGACCAGGCTCCTGGCTCAGCTGGAAGTGCGTGGCTTCTTTCTCCCTGTCTGTGTCCTCTGTCACTTGCTCTTTCACCAGCTCTCATTCCCAGTGAGCCATCGGGGAGGGATCACCCCCTCACCTCCCACACCCTCCTTCTGAGGGCTCTAGCCAGGTCTGCAGCTCCCCACCATCACCAGGGCACTCACTTGCGGCTACAGCCCAGGACAGAAAAACTGTGCTTTGGACAGGTGCGCACACTGCCTCTTACCTCTAGCCAGGAGGATGCTTCAGTCTGTTCATTCGAGACTGGCCCCATCTGAACCCTTTCTGGGCACTGGGGACTAAGGTTGCAGGCCTTAGCCTCGTCTCATCCCAGAGGCATTGGGTCAGGAGAATGAGAACTTTTTTTCCTCCCACCTGGACATAGTTTGCCCCTATGGCAGCCTTTCTGAGGGAGTATATTAAATGTTTACTTAAGAAACACCCTGTTTACAGCCAGAGGACAAACACACCCAGCACTGGGTGGAGATTTGACTCTGGACAGGGCCTGGCCTCCTTGGTGGCACTGCCGGGGGAGGCCCCAGAGCGAATGAGGGCAGAGATGCCCAGGGCAGGGGCGAACACCCTCCGCTCCCTCTGCTCCCGACCCTGTGGTGCTAGGACCACTCCCCACCTTCCTCACGGCCTCCTCGCCCTGCACATTCCCCGCCTCCACATTCCCTTCCTCCAGGATCTCAGCTCCTTAACATATCAGTTGTCTTCTAGCCTAGAAAACCAGTGTTTGGAGCAATAAGATGATTGTTTTTGCTTGAATCTTTTTCTAAGAGAAGGAAAAGAGCTGGCACTGTGGGAATTTTCTTTCTTTTTATGCCGTTGGCTGTTTACCTTCTTAGAAGACATCTTAATACATGAATGTCTGGGATTTAGCCTTGGGGTATCTTTTGGAAACTTAGAAAAGCAGAAGTCAGCTTGCCACCCCCTAAGGAGGGACCCTAACTTTCTGCCCTTCCCTGGATCCGTATGGCTCCTTTCAGTCCTGCCCACCAAGTGCAGCTCCCGCTCTCCATCCTGCCCATGCGCCCCTCCTTCCCACATCTGGGGCCATTGGTGGCTCTTAGGCTAGGTGGGTCTCAGAGTGTCCCTCCCCTCGACTGGTTTTCCCTCCTAGGCCTGTAGGACATAGCTCCTGGGAGTCTTCTCGGCCCTGGCAACCTTGGAAAAGCTAAGCTGGCATTTTTTAGCTCTTTAGGCCACTGGGTTTTGGAGGCAGAAATCCAGAGATAACTGGCTCTGCCAGCCTCTCATACTGGGCTGTGGCACAGCCTTCGAGACAACACAGGTGCATCTCTGATCCTGCCCTACTTGGGCTTTGAGGGCTTCTGTCTGGAGAAATGCCCTCAGAGGGTAACCACTAGGTGTGGCAAAGAATTGGCCAGTGTTAGCATCTACAGCCATCACCGAGAGAGGAGTCCGCTGCCGTCGCCTGCCTAAGGTTGCAGAGGGCATCAGCAAGGAGGCCACCCTGGTGGTTCTCTAGGACAGGCCACAGGAGGAAGGGAGCCTCTTCAGGGGCACTGGAATCTTTTGTGCCAGGGGCTTCTTTTCATCAGAGCCAGGGAGTACATTTCAGTGACTTCTGAAACATTGGTGTGGGATAGGCATGAGCATGAGGGAGGTTTTAAGCCAGGCACAAAGTTAGTTTCAAATACTAGTTAATGAATCTATTTTTCTTCATTTCCTTTTTTTGCACAGAAGCTGGTAATCTAGGACCTACGTGTGAACAACTTTATATGAATATTTTTTGTACTTGGTTTACTTGGGTTGGTATGATACATTATATTTAAGTTCCTTGAACACTGTGGATCCCCCTAATGTGTATGAATGACTGAGGCTTTGTAAATTAAGGGACGTTTGTGTGAATAAAGTTATTTGATGGGGTCAAAGAAGCCATATGTGATTTTACAAAAAGAGTGTTTTGTGTTTTGTTTGTGCCCTGTTTGGGAGGAGGAGGCCAGCCCATGCTGCAGCCCCCATCCCAGCTGGTGGGTGGTGTGAGAGAAGGATCCTTGGCCACCTCCATGTCCCTGTGCTTGAGGAAGCTGCCTGGTGGCCTTAGACTGGCCTTCCCATTCTACACCTGAGAAACCAGCACTTGGAAGTGGAAGAAGCTCTCTGAAATCGTGCAGCCACGACTGGGAATCCTGGATCCAGACAGCCTGGTCTGTCCTTCCAGGGGGTCCAGGGCCTAAGCAGACATTGTGGGCCTCTCCTCCACATATCCCAGGAGCCCCCTCAATCCCCAGTCCTGTGGTTCTGCAGTTCTACTTTGAGAGAGTTTTAACGAAGAGCTAAAATGGGTGGGTCTCCATACCACAGCAGCAAGGGTGTAAGGACCAAGTTTTGGAAAAGCTCAGCAGAGAGGTTGGTTCCATCAGAGGTCAGCTCAGTGGCCTGTGGTTAGTAACATCCACGTCCGAAAAGCAAGGGATCCAATGAAGCCAGGCCATCCTGGTTGGATTGGGAATGAAGTAGTAAATAGCCACTTCACAGGACTAAAGGTTTTTCTTGCAAAATGCTTGGTGGGCAGCCCGTCAGTGGGCATGTCCTCCTTTCCCTGTGTCCTGTAGGGCAGAGTTCAGAGGTGAAGGGCCTTGGAGGAGCTCGAAGCATGTCGTGTTTGGGCGTGGATGGTGAGGAACGTGGAACGTATCACTGTGATACAGGGTCTGAGGTGTGTCGTCCAGACCATGGAGGGAAGGATCTGGAATGCAGAACCAGGCCAGTGTCCATGCCAGTGTAAGAAACTAGACATCTGGGCCCTCACTGATTTCCCCTCCTGGGCGGCTGCTGGCTGTCCTTCCAGGTCTAGCCTCTGACTTAGTCTTTTGATTAATACCCTCTCCCAGCCACCTACTCAGTGCTTGTGAGTCAGGCCTTGCCAGCAAGAAGCTCCCGGCCCACGGGAGGGGAGTCAGAGAAAACGGGTACATCCTTATAGCATGCCAGGTATGACAGACAGGGAAGCTCCAGGGGCTGTGGAGTGTGGAGAAGGCCCCACTGCAACCCGAGGGCCCTCAGGGAGGCTTCTGGAAGAGCCGAGGCCTGAAGGGCCACATTCAGTCCACCCTGCTGCCTGACCTCAGCCTGTCCCTCTCCAGGCCCTGCTGCAGCCCCCGAGCCTGCGGTGACCTGACAGACTGCTCACCACCATGGCGCCCTCACCCTCTTCAAGCCTTTCAACTTGGAGAGCTGCAGGGTCTGCTGGGCTCCCATGGAGTCTTTACCTTATAATATCTTACCCTGAGAATCCAAAGGAGATCCTGTGGCATTGACCTCCGTCCCTCAATCCAGTCTCCCAACAGATTTAATTTTAAATCAGAACAGGTCATGCTGTGGCACTGAACATAGTAAGTTCCTATTACGCCTAAGATCTTCTCCAGACCCCGCTCTCCTTGGCCTACCAGGTCCATTTCCTCCCCTCAGGCTCTGCCCCCAAGCCATCTTGACCTTATTGCTGTCCTTAAACACACAGGACACTTCCATCTCAGGGTCTTCGCACTGGCTGTTTCTGCTACCTGGAATGAGTTCTTTCCTCACTGCTTCATATATGTCTTTGCTCATTTCACCTGAGAGACCCTTCCTGGCACCCTTATCTAAAGAAACGCCTCACCATCAGCACTTTTCTAACATGCTTTATTTTTACTTAATAGCACTTATCACTAGCGGAAAGTCTTAAATACTGTATCTATACACAAGTGTGTATATAAATCTGTGTGTATGTATGTGAGATGGATGGATGGATGAATATAGATATGCGTAAGCAGCGTCTGAGAAGGCACATTCTAAATGTGTAATATGCATTTATTGATTGCACAGCGGATCAGAGCATGCTAGTTCACAGCCCCAGTAGAAGAAGCCTGCAGGGTAGAGGGTGTTGCCAGGACAGGAACCCAGGCCTCCTGATCCCTCACCCATCCTGCGCCTGGCCTGCAAATTCTCTTCTTTCCTGAGGCTTAGTCACAGTGCACTTCATTCCCACCAACCCCTGATAAGTAGGAATGAAACCAACTACTTGAGAAGGAAATCAATCACCAGATGTGAATGATTATATTACTGAGCTTTGATTTCTTTTATCTGGAAACAGGGGTCAGCACACATTTTCTGTGAAGGGTCAGGAAGCGAGTATTTTCGGCTTTACGGGCCACAGCGCCCCTGCTGCAGCTCCTCAGCTCTGCTGTCGTAACATAGCAGCCATAGACACTATGTAAACAAGTGAGCATGGCTGTGTGCCAGCAGAACTTTATTTATGGGCACTGACATTTGGATTTCACATAGTTTTCACCAGATTGTCGCAAAATATTGTTCTGTTTGTCTTCAACCATTTGAAGATGTAAAAACCACATACCTAGAGTGGGCTAGGGCTTGCTTTTGAGTGCTGGGTTCTGCACAGCGTGGCCCGCAACGGATGGGTCTGGCTCAGGGACTAGTCCGCGTGTCAGGTCCTTAGGGGGAAGGAGAGCTCATGTGCATGTTGGTGAGGGACAGGCCCAGAGGTTCTGCTTCATCCCCAGCTGGTCCCTTGGCCACAGCTCTGGTGTGTGGGAGGGAAGTACAGTGTAGGGAGATAGATGGGCATCACCCACAATCTGGCATGTCTGTGACCTAGAAGCAGCAAAGTACGAAACAGCAATTGGAAAAGGAGTCAGAATAACTGAATCCAGATTTGTCATGGCCTCCTGACAGCACTGTGAGATGCAGCAAGTTACCTCCTCTCTGAGTCTTAACAGTGTGGCGGATTCTATAATCAGACAGAAGGGTTTGACCACTGCTTTACCACTTACAGTCTTGTGACCTTGGGCATGTTACTCTCTGAGCCTGTTTTCTCATTTTTAAAATGCCAATGCAAGTACCCACTTCATAAATTTTCCTGAGAATTAATAGTGCATATATACTACATAATGGTACTTGGCATGCAGTAAATTATTCATAAATATTATCTATTGATAGTATTTTGAAAAAATTAGAAAGACATCCTTTGAGATGCTTCTCGAATAAAAGGGCTCCAACTTCAAATAATGCTGAGGAATACTGTATCTTTCATTCCCTTCCTAGAAGGTGCCAGTGCATGCTGAGGGCTCTGAGAAGACCCGTAGTAATCCTGTTTCTCAAGTGTCTTGGATCGGTGCTGCTTCTACGCTGAACACCTAGTAACGTCTCCTAGTTGTAGTGTTTCGGGGGAAATGCTTCAGAGCTCACTTTGGGAGATGCTAACTAAGACTACCTTTGCAACTCTCAAATCCTAATTCCCTTTCAGAGGATGTTAGCTGCCCCATCCTGTTTCACATGGGGCTAGAATCACTTTCCTCTTGTAGAAGCCTCCAAAAATTGCCTTTGCTTGGCCTACTGGTTCCTTAAAGACAGCCCAGAATGTGAAGCATTTAATAACTGCAGTGAGTGCGCTGCCAAAATGCTGTAGGGCTCAGGCCTCTGCCACACGGAGCGTGCCCCTGGTTCATTCCAATAACGGCTAGGTATTGTCATTACTAATACAAAGACAAGAAAATGGCCTAGACCTTGTCTGTTGGCATATCATTTATTCAGTAAACATGCGTGCCATTTATGTGTCAGCTCTCTTCTAGGGCTGGGAATACAGAAGAAATGCAGGAAGAGGCAGTATCTTGTTATTCAGAGAATGCACAGCAATTCAAAACAAAGTTTGAAGAATGCAGGAAAGAGATGGAGAGAGAGAAAAGAAAGGATCAGGGAAAACGATCATGGTGAAAAAGGGGAGGAAGAGCTGGAAACTCTCCGTGGAGGAAGAGACCAAGGAGGATACGGAGAAGAAATAAATCGTCTTACTTCCTTTTCCTCTTTCCTTTCCTGTTTTTTTTTTTTTAATTTTTCCCTGCCCCTCTTTTTCGGTTTGTTTTTCTTCTGCTTCGTTTTTAAAAGGGACGTTATATATAGAACTGAATTAAAAAAAAAAAAAAAAAAAAAGAGTGAGGTCTGAAATACAGAGCCTGGGTTAGAGTCCCATGCCGGCCACTTTCTGTGTGACCCTGAGAAATTTATGTAACTTCTGTGGGCTTTGTTGTGCTCATCTCTAAGATGAGGAAGATGATAAGAGTGCCATCACATGATTATTCTCAGGGTGAAATGCGTTAATACAAATAAAGGGCTTTGAATACTGGGAGGGAGAAGGCTCTGACTCCTTCAATGGACCCATGTCCTAAATCTGCTCCATGAACTCGTGGCGCTGCTTTCTTTGCTTTGCTTTTACAAAACTTTACTTTGCTTTCATCTGCCCGCCTTAAGCATTCATTGAGCACGTAGTCTGCTAGGTACTGGGGATTCATGGATGAAACACATGTAGACCAGTGTCCCCTAATCACGCAAATGTTTCCTGACCCTCTGCTATGTGCCAAACTCCATGTACCAGATGACAATACTGAAAGAGACTTGGCAGAGTTGTGGAGGCAGGTGTGGGGTATATTGAGGACATACCTTGAGAACTACTGTTCCAGGCAAGAGGGATCTAAGGGGCTAAGAGAGGTGGGTCTGGTCCTAGCTCTGTTGGTGGGAGGTTGCATATGGACATCTGTGTGGCATAATTCTGGACAGATAGCGAAGCCTGACCTGTGGATGGGGCCTGGGAGAGGAGGACACCCAATTCCAGCACAGAAAAGTAGTACTGTATTTTCCTGGGTCATCAAACGAGCAGTAATCTGGGAACAAAAGATGATTAGCTATGGATGCCTGCCGAGCTGAGCCAGTTGCCTGCACCCCAGAACCCAGTCAGTTCTCTGCTCTCAGGGCCCCAAACTTGCTTCCCTGGACTGTCCTTTGAGACTCTCACACCCACTCTCCAGCCAGCTTTGGAGAACAGTTAAAATACCAACGTTCTGCCCATCTATGTCAGTTCCAAGTGCTCCTTCAATATATGTTTCATGGTAAGCAACA